TCCATTGTGTTCCCACTCTTCTTCCTTTCACTTGATCTTCCCCCCCCCATCTTTTGCTGCTGTCAGACATTACGTTGACTGACACTCACGTCATATACTACTACTTATAAGTAGCTCACACCACAATATAAGTATAGTGATATTCATTAATAATTTGTTCGAACAATGAACATTTGTTTTATTTCATTAATGTTCCTAATAAATAAATAAATGTATGCGTGTTTTTTTTCAGAAAAAAATTTATTCTCCCCTAAATTAATTAGAAATAATTATTTATTATATAAAGTGACTGGAGAAGTGAAATTATTTAAATAAATAATATAACCACCATCTGGAAAATGTAATATACAAATGTTTAAATGATGAGGGAACATTTTTAAATTAAAAATAAAAACCGCGAATTTTTAATTGAATTTCGAAACTAATTTAATGTTAACGATATGAATGGAAGATATAAGTTTGTAAGTGATATGTGTGTAAGTTCATTTATAGATGTCTTTGAAGTATTACTAAACAATAATAAAATCTTTTTTCGTTAGATCCCTCAGCTCACTTGAAAAAGGTCCTATTTTTTGTATTTTTTTTATGTTTTCGCGCATAAGTTGAGATTACATTTCCCACTTGGAAAATCCTTGACTGTCATTGGTTGATGTATTATTTTGTGGCCCTCCCAAGGACGTTTCTATCATTTTATAAATAAGCTCGATTTGTGTACTTATTGACCTCATATTTTCTAGGTGCTTGTATGATACACTTCCTACGCCTTATCAAGACTTCTTGATCTAGTTAGCCGGGCTGTGGACAAATGGATTAGAATAGCTCATTGTGTCACTGTATCGTTGACCTTCGTTCCGTTTACCGAGTAAGGTGAACTCGTAATAGCATTCAAGCATATCAGTTGACGAGAATATCAGTTATATAGGTGGCTTATTTATTATGGAAACCATGAAACAATCTTTGTTAGATCACACCATCAGAAACCTCGAAGCAATGAAAGACGGCCGTTTCGTCCTGGTATGTGACTACTCATCAGCAGTGCGTATCCATGACTCCTGAACCTAGCAGGATTGGAACCCACGACCTTGGGTCTTGCGCGCGCGAACGCCTAACCTCTGAACCAGTGGACGCGCATTTCTGATGAGTCCCATACCAGGAAGAAACGTCCGTCTTTAAGTGCTTCCAGGTTTCTAATGGTGTGGTCTAACAATGATCGAATGATGATTTCACTATGTAAATTGTAACGTCGTTTTTCATTATAAGATTATGTAAATGGCTTATTTATTGTTAACAATCATGAATCACATGGACTGAATCACCATTAGAAACCTGGGAGCACTAGTCGTCCTAGTATGGGACTCATCAGCATTGCCTATCTACGACCGCTAATCATGGGAATCGAAACGAGGACCTGTAAACCACCGATCTAAAGTAACGTGTGACCTTATCCATTGTGTTCCGGTGGATAACTACTTCACATTGACACTGTCGAACTCTGCTAATTACGGCTTCTCACTAGAACTCCGAGAATTTCCTCATGAAACTAGTCACTAATGCGTACAATGATCAATCCTTACAAATTTATCATGAAAAACTAGATTACAATGACACGAATCGATTTATTAATTATATGGTTCAATGTATCAATATTTATAATTTTTGAAACCATGAATCGATCAATGTTAGACCACCACCATTAGAAAGTTGGAAGCACTAAAGGACGGCTGTTTCGTCCTGGTATGGGACTCATCAGCGGTAGTGAGCAGCCACGACTCCTGCACCTCACAGTATTCGAACCCAGAACCTTTGGCATAGTACGCGAACGCCTAATCTCCGGACCACTGAGCCGGTATCTAAAGGTGTTAATGTCTAACTTGATCAATTCACTCAGTTGCGCAACCTCATACACAGTCTTCGGTAGTAGTTACTGTCTACACCCGAACAGGTTGAACTTCACTGGTCACACAACTTCCCACCACTAGAACTCGGAGAAGATTCCTCACGAAGCTAGTCACTAGTGAGCACAGGTAATTCATTGCATTACGGGGTTGTTGTGAAGATTGTTGTTAAGTTACACATTTTTTGAAAGCATGCATCGATCAATGTTAGACTCACACCATTTCAAAAATGTGTCAATATTTATAATATCCAATATATGTTTATAATCTTGAACGGTTAGGGCGTTCGCGCACAATACCGAAGGTCCTGGGCTCGAATCCTGCGGGGTGCAGGAGTCGTGGATGCGCACTGCCACTGATGAGTTCCATACCAGGACGAAACGACCGTCTTTCAGTGCTTCCATGTTTCTAATGTTGTGAGTCTAACATTGATCGATTCATGATTTTAAAATGTATAAAAAATTAATCCACCGACCCCCCACCCCACCTGTCATCTCTCCTTAATCATTTTGCTACTTCATTTTTGAAATTTCTTCTGGTCAATTCAATAAACAATTTAAAACAAAAATTTAATCTTGAATTTATTAAAAAGGCAAAAAAAATAAAATAAAATTTTCAAAAATTTTTGTCATTTTTAAATTAACAACACTTGAACAATAAATAAATCAGTGAAAAACCAAACAAAACTGAAGACAGTTGATTCTTATGAAAACATATCTATCTACATGTTTGTTGAGTTGATGAAATGATTTTGGTGAAATTGTGTCAAAAATTGAGTGAGAGAGATACACACACACACGGACACAGACACACACAGACATACACAGTGTACTCTTACACAAACTGTTTACATAACACATGGATTGGTTTTTTTATAGAGAAAAATTTTAATCTCGCACAAGTTAGCATATCGAATTGCATAGGCAGAGAGGAAAGCACCTACCACTACTACTGTACTGCCACTACTACTATGGTGGCAATCCTAGGCTTGACACACAAACACACACTGAACTTTTCATTGTGTGACTTAACCAGTTGACAGAATTATCACACAACAACTCTATGGCATTTGACCATTTCAATGAAAGTTGATGTGTATGTGTGTGTGCGTGTGTTGTCTTTTCGGTGTAGAGAATGTAAAAATCAAATTTTTTTGTTTATAAAAAGAAGTGTAATTCGACACAGACTAATAATTCATAGACTCACTCACACACAGAGAGAGAAAAGTTAACTAATTTAAGAAAAAATAACTAGTCATTGATTTCCTTTTTTGTCTAACTTGAAAAAAAAACAATGACCTAATTTACTACACAAATGTAAAAAAACAAACGATTATTTATGTGTATTTAAGTTAGTAAATAGAATTCTCTTAGTTCTCTTAGTGAGAGAAAAGCTATGACCGATGGAGTTCAGTCAGTTCGTTGTCCAAGACAAATGATGAGTGGGGTGGCGCAAGAGAACAATTTTGGGTACCGACTGGCTCTGTGGCTCAGAGGTTAGGCGTTCTTGCGCCAAGCCGAAGGTCCTACGTATCGAATCCTGAGAGTAGCAGAAGTCATGGATCAGCACTGATGAGTCCGGTACCGGGTAGAAGCGGCCATCCAGTGTTTTCAGTAATCAGCAACAATCTCATTAACGCTATAATGAAAAATCGTACAATATGCTCACTAGTTACTAGCTTCGTGAGGGAATTCTCGGAGTTCTAGTAAGAAGCCATGACCAGTGGAGTTCAACTACATTGGATGCAGACAGTTACCTACCCAAGAAAATGGTGAGTAAGGTTGCGCAAAAACCTTTAGGATTAATCAGAGTTAGACATGAACACCTTTGGATGCCTGTCAGCTCAGTGATCCAGAGGTTAGGCATTCTCGTGTCAGACTGAACGTGAAGGGTTTCGAATCCTGTGAGTAACAGGAGTTGTGGACGCACAATATTGTCGAAATGTTAGTCTTTCAGTGCTTCCAAGTTACTAATGATGGTCTAACAATGATTCCTGCAAGATTTCACTCGTAAACAACAATCTCCATAACTCTGTGATGAAAAAAGTCGTACACTGTGTTCACTAGTGACTAGCTTCGTGAGGAAATTCACGAAGTTCAGGCAACAAAGACGTGACCAGTGTAGTTCAACCTTGTTGGATGTAGGTAGTAACTACCGAGGACAATGTTTAGCTTTCTCATAAATTGTAACTAAATGAAGAAAACCCAGATTACTTAATCAAGGTTGGACATATATGAAATGAAAATGATCATTTATAATCTTTCATATCAGTGGCTGGAAATATATAATCTATAATGAACATAAACAGGATTAATACCTATAAAACAGTAAAAGAGGGCCGTTTCGTCCTGGCACGGGACTCATCAACAATGTGCATCCACGACTCCTAATCGCTGGATTCCAACCCAAGACCTTCGGTCTTGCGCGAGACCGCCTAGCCTCTGGACCACAAGGTCGACACTGATTGGTTTTGATGTTGAACTTCGATCATTCTAGGGATTTTTAATAAGAATACATGACCAGTGAAGGTCAAACCTATCGTGTAATTACCCACAGACAATGGCTGAGGTTGCCCGAAATCCTTAGATTAATCAGAGTTAGACATTAACATCGTTGGATGACGGATCAGTTGTTCAAAGGTTAAGCGTTCGTGTACAAGACTGAAGTTATTGAATTCGACTCCTACGACTAACAGTAGTCATGTATATGCACTCCTTATGAGTAGTCCCATACACCAGGACGAAACGGCTGTCTTTCACTACTTCCAAGTTTCTAATGATCTGACCTAACAATGATTCATTCATGATTTCCATAACTCTAATTGAAAAAATCGTACAACATCCTCACCAATGACTAGCTTCGTGAGTTCTAGTGAGAAGCCACTACCAGTGGAGTTCATCTCTGTAGAGTGTAGTCAATTATCTACACAAGACAATGGGTTATTGAAGTTGCACAAAAACCCTCAGGATTGATTAGAGTTAGACATGAACACCTTTTGAATGTCGGCTAACTCAGTGGTACTGAGGTTCGAATCCTGAGATTCGCAGAAGTTGTGAATGCACGCTGCCACTGATAAGTAGCCTCATATCAGGATCAGACAGAGGTCTTTCAGTGATTGTAGGTTTCTAATGATCTGGTCTAACACTGATTCATTTATGAGTTCAATCTAACAATAATTATAGTAATATAGTCTATTTTATGTTCAATTATCTGCCTAATTTTATCGTTAATCGAATATCTATCTACTCATAATATCTATTTCTCTCTCTCTCTCTCTCGAAATAAACTTATCATTCACTTCAATAATTTATTAATGAACGCATAATTTTTACTTATGGATTAACTTTTAACGTGATCAATGTTCAATTTTTCCATAAAAAAATGCTTCAACATTGATTATAATGCGCCTACTTGATGCCTACTTGACATGAAACCA